GATTTCTTCCACCGATTCAAAAGGTCTGAGTAGGAGGGGAAAGGATAAACAAGATTCACAAGGCATGAGGCCCGGTGGAGACTAGCAGCAGATTTTTATATTTAAAATAACCCACATATAAACACATCAAGGCACTGATTGTTATGAACTGTTGTTTAATTAAGTTACACTTCATTTAGATGCAGCTTCCAACTATGTGTTCGAGAATATTATCCGTAACAGACTGGCAAAAAGAAAGTGCAAAATCTCTAAGGATTCTGGGTCCCATTTCCTCCAATGTTGTGATAATTTTCTTGTTTTTAATGTGTGTTTTAACATTAAATATTAAAACACAAATTAAAAACAAGAAAATTTTATTTTAACTCTAGCTTAGTGCTAAACAACACTCTGAAAACTGACCCTTGGTATAGAAAAAAAGTTATTTTATGAACCTTACACTTATTCCTTAAATGAAGGCCCCATCCACACTAATGTGTTTTTGTTTGAAAATGCTTACATTTCGATAAGTTTAGGCCTTCTGTCCACACTAATATGCTGAGTGTTTTCATTGATAATGCATCAATTTGAAAAATGCACCTGAGAAGTGGAGCAAAACTAATTCACATATGTATTGTATGAGTGTGGACGGTCGAAAATAGTCAAAAATGAAAAGCATGACCAAAAAATATCACAGGCGTGTGTGTTTGTAGCATGCTCATTGAATTCAACTTATGTCACAACGCACAACTCTATCATTTTCAAACATTAAAGTCTGGACAGTCAAAGATGCATGATCAAAACAGTAGTGTGGATGCGAATTGATCGATGCGTTTTTGACGACAACAAAAATGCATACTTTTGAAAATGCGCCAGTGTAGACAGCCCCTGGCCTAAGATTAGAGTGGCTGAAAATGTAAACGCACTATGAGATGTTTGACCATTTGGTGTCTTACTTTAGAACCGAGGATCCTCCGGCAGCCAAGGAACTTTTGAAAGTCCTAAATATAGACTGGTATTTTTCATACAAAGAAATCTATCCTGGTTCAAAGGTTACACATTTTAAAAAGTGAGTGAATGTTGACATAGTCCCTGCAAGAAGTATTTAGTTTGCAATAAGCTGCAATAGTACATTGTTTTTTTGTTTATTGATCGTTTTACGTTGGTTATTTTAAGCTGATGCAGTAGTGTATCATTTCTTTGTATCCCCTTTAGCATTCTGGGTGACCTTTGATGGAAATGTCTACTCCCTTGCACATAAACAAAAACTATTTCAAAGGGAAAAAAGAGGTTATTTACGTCAACAGCTCATCTCCCATCATTTAAAATGTGCTGTGCTTTGGAGTTTTGAGACTGTACATTGGAAGTTGTTTTTGAGCAGTGCATGTCAACCAGATGTGAGGCCATAACATAAACAAATTTAATGTATCGCTTAGTACCCTGATAGAAACAATTTGTCCGAAAATTTAGGCACAACCACTGACCAAGAATGCAAAAAGTCCCCTTCTGGTTGTCATTCATCATTCAAAAATGCCTTTGCTTAAACTTTCTCTTTTCACCATCGCAACTTCCTTTTATGGCGTCTCACATTTTAAAATGAGTTATTGTGTTGCCATCAAAAATAAGTAAATGCATGCATTCCCATGGGGGGAGGGGGTACTCGTTATGATGGCCTATGTGGGGAGGCTCCGCCCCAAAGGGGTAGTGATTTTACTCATTGAAGTATACAAAAGGGGAGGGAAATCTGTCATTTGGGTCTTTGAAAGAGCCCAAAAGGGTTAACAGATGAATTTTATGGCTTTATAAAGTCGAGAAAACGTTATATTTTTATGATTGATTCCTATTCAAAAGATAGTGCAAAAGGATACCAAAATATAAACAAGGGGGACCATTTGTCAATAGAAGGTATACGAAAGGGAAACGTTTTTCGTGAAAAATGGTACATAAAAGGGTAAGGGGTTGGACCTCGGGGCGGAGCCTTCCCGTATAAACATTTGTTGAGTACCGACCCCCGGGGATGCATGGAATAATCTACTAACCTGATATGTTATTACTGATAAGTTTATACTTCCTTTGAAATTTGTTTGTGTTTTAGATTTACCCAGGCTAGTGGAGTATCTTACTCAAATATGTTATTCTTTGACGATGAAGAGAGAAATATTCATGAGATCAGCAGACTAGGTAAGAATCCAGTTTCTCGCCACTCCTTGGAATAAAGAGGCTTTCATAACCGCTGTGTTCTCATCATCACCGTCATGTCCACAATAGCCTGTTCATCGTCGAGCGCGCGTATGAAAATAAAAACCGCGGGAGATTTATTGACCTTAAACGCAAGGTGGTAGGGAAAACAGAAAATAGACAATTTTTTGCGCTTTCGCGCTCGTTCTCGCACCTTGCGCACTGTCGAATTTTCGAGGAAAAACAGAGAAAAACGTCTGTGAACAAGCTACGTCCACTCGAGCCCGGGGCAAGTCTGTAAATGCGTACGAATTTGTGCTTTTGCATTTTTTATACGTGAAAAAGTGATGTGGTTTAAGAGAGGTGGTCGCAAGTGAAGGTTCTTCTGTTCGACTGTATTACAAAATGATGACTTATTGTTGCTTCTTCTAGGTGTTACTTGTGTTTTAGTAAGACGAGGAATGAATCTCGCTGCCCTACAAAGTGGACTAAAAGAGTATGCTGAAAAGCAGCGTAGGTGATCAAATGTTTTGTACATGGAACCATTAGGGGTTAGAGGAACTCTGTTGAAAAGGAGTTGAATTTGGAAGAAATGGTCTTTGGGGAGTTTCGGCATCGACGGCGGTGGCAACAATAAACATGACAACGATTTTGTTCGTGCTTCAGACTTCTTGGTACATTTCGCTGCCGTCTGCCGTCGCTTTCGCTTATATAGAGGAGTACCACCCCTTCCCCCCCGGACAAAACGGTGGTGTGGACGCAATATCTATCGATACGTTTTCGATGACAACGAAAACGCATTAGTGTGGACAGGGCCAAAGGGTATGTAAATATCGAAAATACTGGGATGAATATTTAGCGATAAGTTCGAAATAAACTATTTTTGCTAGAAATGTTGTGTGTCGTCGTTCATGTAACTGGAAACGGCGAATTTATAGTTAATGACCTAGGCAAAAATTTTTCATTTTAACATCCCTATTCAAGAATCCGTTTAGCCTAAACTTTGAAACATATTCTTATCTTATCTGTGTGCACCTGGGGAATGAAATTAGGGGTCAACTTGTGATCAGTGCTTCAATTTTTCTTATAATAAACATTTTTACGAGGACGCCTATTTGGTAAGCAGATTTCCTAGAGGAAAAGGCTGAATAACACTTCATTCTCTTGTGCTAATTTAACGTTTACACAAGAACCTGTTTCAGCTAACTTGACAAAAATGTTACCCGCGTTATAGCCTAGTAGAAGCCCATTCACGAGTTTTTAAAATGTTTTAGAAAAAAGACTCTACCAACTGTCAAGTCTTTTTATTTATACTTGTCATTAAGAGTAAAAAAAGTCTAATTATTTTTCTTCGTGTTTCCTAAAAGTCTTCATCTTGAAGACGACTCTTTAAACGTCACGAAAACATTTATAATGCCTCAGTACAAAATACATCACTAAAACGAACACACTTTTCCATCTCAGACAAAGTTTATTTGTTTTCAACTAAAATAGAATCTCCTGCCTTCTTCACTTAAAACCGGAAGATCCATATAATTTGGCATATCTTCAGCATTGTCTACCGGAAGATGCAAAAAATTCTTATGAAGTCTTTCGAGCATTTTGCTGTTTGAAAATATTTTGAACCAAACAATCGATCGCTCGGGTCATGACGCCCGTGTAACCATCCCCTTCTCTTGACAAAAGCTGAAACCAGCCTACAAATCCATTTCTAGCACAAAACTCGTCTAGAAGAACCTTGCTTTCCAGCATTTTTCCTTGTCCGATCCAATCCACTGGTTTTCCACGCTTCGATGTGGGAATGTTCTCTATTACAAGCACCATCGGGATATTAGCGTCCTTGGGGTTCGCTTCTCGGATCTTTTCACTCCATTTTAAAACGCTTCCAAGTGGAGAAGGGCTTTTTGGCCCCCAAAACACTAAAGCGCCGACGCAATTCCGGCAAAAAACGCTGGTCATTTTAAGAAAGCGTTCGTGTTCAGCTACATCCCAAAACTGTAGCTTTACTGTGGATTCTTTCTTAGTTTGTTTGTCGATCCAAGTGATGAAATTCAAGTAAAAATCAACCCCAATCGTCGGCTTGTGATAAAAGCTAAGCGGTCGGCGTTGAATATAGTCCGAGACAAAGCCTCCCTTCTTACCGAAACCTGTGTAATCTCCGACGCACATAATTTTGAAAGTGAAATCGGTTTCTTTAGATTTCACCTCTTGAAAGATCTCTTCGTCTTGTTGCACAATCGAGTGATGCCCATCTACTTCCGATTCATGACTCATAAAACTTTGGCTTCGTTGTAGCTCTGACATCATAGTTGTAGTGCTTCGTCTCCACCAAATCGAAATTCTTGGATATTTTGATACTGCTTTATACGCACGGAATCCCACCTCCTAAAATACGGATACGACAGGAAGGAAATATAATCTTTTTCGACTACACGTCACGTCTTAAGAAGGCACGTCTTTCATCGATGTCTTTCACATTCTCTGTTATAAAGCCATAAAAGTCAATCTGTTGGACATAATAAAGCTATCAAGTATCACCCAAAGAAGACATGCGTGCGAAAAACCGAAAACCCAGTTCAATGTCCAAGAACGCCACTTTAAGACAACTTAAAGCACGCAATGACCGTCAAATGAAACGCTTGCAGCAGAAAACCTCTTGAGTAATAAACAATAAATATTTAATTCACACGATGTTGTATGAGATGGAACACATCCAAGTTTAGTGAAAGGGTTTTAGAAACGTCGCTTACGGTTAAGCAATAACCGGGGGGTTATTAACGGGGGTTATTTCTGCGAGAGCCTTTCGTATCGATTTCTTGAACATTCCTGAAGAGTAGTCATAATTTATATCTGATTTTCTTTGCCATTAATGAAAATTCAATTTTTCTTGGTGATTTAGCATTAAATGGCATATTTAATCAATTCACTGATACTTCGCTTATGCAGATTCCGGTCTCCGATGGAAAAATCGTATTTTGTTTACCTTAAACAAAACGGGTGATATTGAAAACAATCGTATATTCACTTCTAATGTATATACGAAACAAATTCGCTATGTTCGCTAGTGGCATCATACGTCAGTTTTTAGACTTTCAAAAGGAAAAGTCCACTTACTTTACTTAATGTTGTTTTGGTTGTTTTAAATCTCTAATTACAGGCGGCGCGTTATCCTTGGATAACGAAAACAGTTTTCCTCCTTAGCAAATTAGCATAAAAATTTCATGATATTAAGAAATTACACGCAACAAATATGTAGACACTTAAGATATTAAGTAGCCCTGTCGTGAAAGCTCTCAACGTGTCTTGAGACATGATAATTTGCATGTGATGCTAAGTGCAACCGGACCAGACTACGAGTAGTCTCCCATTTTTCCTCAGGGATAGTAGAGCGAGCGAAACGCGAGCGCGCGTGAAAATAACCCCACGCGAGAAAAGGCGACAGACTATAAAGGGGACAGAGAGGGCATCCCCCATATACACCCTATTCCATAGGTAATTCGTCTCGAGTTATTTATCTCAAGGGGGATTAGACAACAGCCAATCACATAGCGCGAATGTGTTCCGCGTGGATGACCCACGCTGAGAGCCACGCGTCCTTCACGAAATGACGCAGAACAAAATGGGGGAAGACGCGGAGAGCGATTTTGCTATTCCTTTTGTCGACGAAAACGACTACAGCGAGATTTCTGCGAAAGCTGTGTCAGCGAAACCGAAATTAAAAAAGAATCGCCCTTCCTCTCTTGTATAGAGCTAACAGTAGAGCAGGGAAATCCTTAACACACTGAATATTCTCTCAGGATCATTTATAATTTACAGTTTGAAGAGAGCAATTTCTGGTTTGATGTTTATTTTTTTCAGTCTTTTTAGCGATTATTCCTACCCACCTACTTTGTCAACTGTAGGCGAACCCTCCTAAAGCTGAATTTCAAGGGACCATATTCAAGCTCAGAAAGAGAAATAAAATTTCGTCGTTGCTTATTTACGTCCACCATAAAACGCGAAATTAGGCATTTTCACGTCTTAGTTGTGCAAAAACGGGAAAGAAATGAACAAAAAAGTGTGTTGCACGTGCAAAGTTGTTTTTTTGCTAATTAAACCTATTGTTTTTTTGATGTTCTAGTTGTCGTCCACGTCGTTGGATCTTAAACTCCCTAAATTGTACAAACGACCGGTTTCAATAGACCGGCGAAATTTCTCATTTTATTAAAGCACTGAGGTTACGAAAACTTCGAGTTAAACTTGATTTCACGGGTTGTCAAAGAGTCCAGCGATTCCTTTTTCCCAGGTGAGGGCCGACTCATTTCGCTTCAATATTCAGGAATGCTCTCGATCTCGACATGTTTTGCACGGCGTTTGGTCATGCGAAACCTCCACGAAACATCCACGCCTCGCGCGAGGTAACTTTATCCCGATTCTAAAAATAACTCGAGACGAATTGCCTATGGAATAGGGTGTATATGGGGGATGGTCTCTCTGTCCCCTTATAGTCTCTTGCTGAGGACAAATGGGGGACTACTCGTAGTCTACAAGCGGACAGAGGGTGTCGCTAAGTGCGTAGAGGAAAAGAAAAACAAATATATAAAACACACATTCAAGTTTATTCAGACGTACAAAAAATCATAAATGAAGTACACTACGTCTTGCAAAGGAAACACAAGGTTAACCCTATAACGTTTCCTCCAATTAAAAGTGAAGGGAAAAATATCAACTTTACAGTCGAACCTCTCGGTACGGACACGTCTCAAATACGGACACCTCTATATTACAGACAGTTTCCAATGTCCCGACAAAATTCTCATATATTTTCTTTTAAAAAAACCTCTGTAAAACGGACTCTCTCTAGTACAGACAACGGACACTAAATCTCGGCCCCAGAGAGTAAATTCATATGAACTTAACCTCTTCATCACGGACACTGCGGTTATCAGGTGAATCCCGAATCCAGATCAGGTCAATCTGCACAGGGCGAATCCCGTCTGGCTGATGAGCTATGCAAGGTGACTTCAAAAGCCCGTCGCTTTTTATAAAACGACGATTTGCAAAAGGTGTACAGAGGAACATAACCAACTTCTTTAAGGCTTGAATAATTACAGATAGTATAAAGATCTTTTCTATTACATTTTGTACTCTAGTTGCTGTTTACTGCACTTGCAAAATAGCGAAAGACGCTTTCAGAATTGTGCTTTACGTTACAACTTTTTACATGCCGCATTGCGTGCAGTATTGCGCTGTAGCTCGTTTCGTTTAGAAATAGTGATTTTTCTACGACTGTACGTAGGTAGCTGATATGTACAGTGTTGTATGCTATTGAAAGAGAGTGTCTTTGTACTGTGAATTAATAAACTTAAATGCAGTTTAAACACGAGTGTAAGCCTGGTTTTAGCTACTGAACACTTAAAACTGTAAGTGGAGTCATAAAAGTGACGACATCATAGTGACCTCTTTTATACGGACACCTCTCTAATATGGACACTTTGCTCTACCCCTTCGGTGTACGTATTAGAGAGGTTCGACTGTATACAAATGCGTACAGACATATAGAAGCTAGAAGTGATGATAATGAGAAAAATACGATATCACAGCCAATTACAGTTAAGAAATAATTGGAACTATAGAAACTGTTTGCATATTAAAGAAAAGATTTCAACTTTCCGGCTTCTGAACTCCCACAGCAATATGGCCACCATGACGTCATGTGAAAACGCTCCATATCCTCTCCTTGAGATTGTTCTCGTAGCAGACAAGACTACCGAAAAGCACTATGTCATGACCTTAGCAACAAGGGCCTTAGTAAGGCTGGCAGTCTTTTGGGGATGGGATTAATGAGTATTCTTGGAATATTTAGTGCACAACTATCATATTTCCACTCGGGAAACGTTTTGTTGATTGGCAACTTTGTTTTCTCTTTCCATTTCTTTTTCTCAAAGTCATAACTTTCAACCGCCATTACTCTTTTATTAACGTTTCGACCACGTCCGCCTACCACATACAGAATTCCCTTCAAATACACCATGCTGCCGGAAAAGCGAGGAGAATTTAAACTTGCTATCAACTGCCATTCGTCTGCTTCTATGTTGTACACTTCACAGGTGTCAAGACTGGGAGACCCTCCTTCCGCTGATCCACCAGCGATAAAAATCTTCCCATGTGCAGCAGTGCCACAGGCTGCCCATCTTGGCACTTTCATCTCAGTTATACGATCCCAGCTCTGATTCCCGCCACCCCCCATTCCTGAGTGTAGAGTCATAGTGTCTAGTCTATAAGGTGATGATATAGTCTCAAAGTCAGTAAGCATTAAACCACCAATAACGTACAGGTATCTGTCCATGGCGATTATACAGGCACCCGTGGCAGCCACTGGCTTACTTCCATAGCAGTGAACATCAGTCCATGTGTTTGACTTAAAGTTATACTTGGATAAGTAAAATGACGGCCTTTCCTGTAGACGCCGTGGAAGGAGCCTATTTCTCCTGGCACGGACCCATTCAGAAGGATCATCATAAACAGCAAACAGTTGCCCCCTTACAACTGCTAAACCGAAAGTCTGTCTGGTAGCCTGCCCAGTCTGATAGTCAAACGTAGTCCAGCCATTCAAAGACGGGTCAAACATTTCTGCTCTTTTATGACAGACGTTCGGCGAACTTGGGAAAACATACAGCTTTCCTTGAAAAGGGCACATTTTGTAAGGATTTGTGTTTGTGTATGTCAAATGCGTGTCCGCTAACTTATACCACTTGTCTCCGTCAGGTTCATAACAATAGGTCTCCTTGCCCATGTAAACGACTAGGTGTGTATCAGTCCAATTCCTGGGTGACTGGAAAGAACATTTTCCTTCTGCAGCGTCTTTGGCCAGCTTCAAACAGTTTGAGCACCCTGACACGAGATCATTGGCTAGAACATCACTGAGCAAATAGTCACGCGATATAAAGGACAATCTCACGTATCGAAATAATTCTTCGAACTTCCCTTTCCGCTCGCTTTTGCTATGTTGAATCCACCTTACTATGGCCTTGAATATGACATCTTCGGTACTAACAGCTACGTCATCCCTGCAAATCCACTCCACCACTTGCTGGTTATCCAAAAAAAGAAAATCTTGAGATTCACTCACAGCGGTAAAGTTTGATAGGATAAATTGCCTAGTCTTGATTGTCAGCTCTTGGCATCGATATTGCTCAGCAAAATAATAAATTGACATACAATTTGAAGATGTTAATGTTTCCTGCACTAAATATTTTTCAGAGAATGTTTTCAATCTGTCGAGAAGCAAATATTCCGCTGCCTCGATCAGCTCTTTCGCATTTTCTGGACCAGTTATTTCAACACTACCAGATCGTACAAACTCTAAAACATCTCTCATACATGCCTCTGTGATGTGCTGTAACAGAACAATTCCTTCTTTGTTCTCCCTCATGTCGCTGTTGAGAAGAGTAGAAAAGAAATCGCTTGCAGTCGCAATTTCATTTCTACTTACTCTCATCTCTTTGCCGTGTTTAAGGATTAAAGTGAAATCGTTGTCACCTTCTTTGGGCTGCATTTTTGCGCGAACCAAGAACGAGAAGTCCAAAGACTACTGCAAAGCTGATTTAAAACAACGTGTATTGTTTTTTATAACAATATTTCGGCTGGCCATACCAGCCTTCTTCAGGTTTACAGATGTTACTGAACTTATGTAGCAATCACAATATTATATAAATGGAGAACGTCGCAATAAAAGGGAGAGGCGGAAATGACGTACAACATAAAAACTGGAATGGAAAAATACTAAGGATATGGATTACAATAATTCGTCACGGCGGTTTAGGCCATGAGGTTTAATAAAGAGTCATGGCCTTATCTATCAAATGCGACTCCCTGGCCTTATGAACTGAGTCACGTGAGGAATGAATTTTCTCTAGTGGGATTAACTGCATGTCAGTATGAGAATGGTTAGAGTAAGAGAGAAAGTGTTCAGAAACAGTAGTGGGTTTAGATTTAATGTTAGACTACGAGTAGTCCCCCATTTTCCTCAAGGATAGTAGAGCGAGCGAAACGCGAGCGCGCGTGAAAATCACCCCTAGCGAGAAATGACGACACGCGGCGGGGAGAGGGAAAAATGAACAATTCGTCAAGCCACAATCATGACTGACAGCTCTATGACGTACACACCATCATAGACTCTCAAGCAGTCTCTTATTTTTCTTTGCAAAGTTATAGTTACTGCACGCGAAACCTAAGAACGTAGACTACGAGTAGTCCCCCATTTTTCCTCAAGAATAGTAGAGCGAGCGAAACGCGAGCGCGCCTGAAAATCACCCCACGCGAGAAAAGGCGACACGCGACGGGGAGAGAGAAAAATTTTTTCGCCGCGTGTCGCCTTTTCTCGCGTGGGGTGATTTTCACGCGCGCTCGCGTTTCGCTCGCTCTACTATCCTTGACGAAAAATGGAGGACTACTCGTAGTCTAATTTAATGTTAGTTTTGTCGACTGCACGTCTGTGTTCGTTAAATCTGTCCTTGAGACGTCACTTAGTTTCACCTATATATTGTAAATTACAACGGTTACATTGAACCATGTAGATCACATTTTTAGTGTTACAAGTAATGTGCGAAGTGATGAAGCGTTTGAAACATTGACTGACTAAAATGGACTTTTGGCGACACATATGTCAAGTGAGAACAGTGCAAAGAGAAGAACTGTGTGGGTCATTAATTCGTCAAACCACAATCATGACTGACAGCTCTATGACGTACACACCATCATAGACTCTCAAGCAGTCTCTTATTTTTCTTTGCAAAGTTATAGTTAATGCACGCGAAACCTAAGAACAGCTGTTTCACGAGTCGTACGAGTGGGAAGTAATCATTTTCTCCTCGGTCCAATATAAAAGTAGTTCCAATAAACAAGGTTGTAAGAATTGAGGAAATGATCACACATAATACCCCTCCGTGATCCTCGCCAACAAAAGTACCAACCTCGTCCCCAGGGCGCTTTTCCCTGGCTCTACAAAGCCCTCACGTGGACAGCATCTCGGTACAAATTAGCCTGACAAAAGAGCCGACATTTTGCGACGCAACACTGGTTTCCCCGTGAAGTGAAGTCTGAGAAACGACTGCTGAAATTTCATACTGATGACGTATCAATACCCAGATCTGGGTAGTGCTTTCGATTAGTTGAAGCAAATTCCCTTCACAGCACGGACCAATTAGAAGAACTACCCAGATCTGGGTAGTAACACGTTATCAGTATGGAATTTCGAGGGGAAACCAGTTGTGGCGTCGCGAAATGTCGGCTGTTTTCTCAGGCTAAGTGCAAATTTATTGGAACTATAGAAAGTGTTTGCATATTAAAGAAAAGATTTCAACTCCCAGGCTTCTGAACTCCCACAGGAATATGATTTGTTTGGAAAACCAACATGGCCACCGTTTTATTGTTTTGGAACACCAATATGGCCGCCATGATGTCATGTGAAAACGCTCCATATTTTTAGTCCTCATCCTCTCCCTGAGATTGTTCTCGTAGCAGACAAGACTACCGAAAAGCACTCTGTCGTGACCATAGCAACAAGGGCCATAGTGACCCTTGCTGTCTTTTGAGGATGGGTTTAACGAGTATTCTTGGAATACAAAGTGTGCAACTGTCATATTTCCACTCATGAGACGTTTTGTCGATTGGCAACTTTGTTTTCTCCTTCCATTTCTTTTCCTCAAAGTCATAACTTTCAACTGCCGTTACTCTTTTATTAAAGTTTAGATCACGTCCGCGTCCGCCTACCACATACAGAATTCCCTTCAAATACACCATGCTGCCGTAAAGGCGAGGAGAATTTAAACGTGCTATCAACTGCCATTCGTCTGCTTCTATGTTGTACACTTCACAGCTCACACAGTAACACCCTCCCCTCACCAATCCACCGGCGATAAAAATCTTCCCATGTGCAGCAGTGCCACAGGCTCCCTCTCTTGGCTCTTTCATCTCTGTTATACGATCCCAGCTCAGATTGCCGCCATCCCGCATTCCTGAGTGTAGACTCATAGTGTCTATTCTATAAGGTGGTGATATACTGTCAAGGTCAGTAAGCATTAAACCAACAATAACGTACAGGTATGTGTCCATGGCGATTATACAGGCACCCGTGGCAGCCACTGGCTTACTTCCATAGCAATGAACATCGGTCCATGTGTTTGACTTAAAGTTATACTTGGATAAGTAAAATTTTGGCCCTCCCTGTAGAAGCCGTGGAATGAGCCCATCTCTACCTCTGCCACAATACCATTCAGAACGATCATCATGAACAGCAAACAGTTGCCCCCTTACAACTGCTAAACCAAAAGTCTGTGTGGAAGCCTGTCCAGTCTGATAGTCAAACGTAGTCCAGCCATTCAAAGACGGGTCAAACGTTTCTGCTCTGCTCTGACAGACATTCTGCGAATTTGGGAAAACATACAACTTTCCTTGACAAGAGCACATTTTGTAAGGACCTGAGCCGTAAAAATTTGTGTTTATGTATGTCAAGTGCGTGTCCGCTAACCCATACCACTTGTCTCCGTCAGGTTCATAACAATACGTCTCCTTGCCCATGTAAACGACTAGGTGTGTATCAGTCCCCACTCTGGGTGACTGGAAAGGACATTTTCCCTCTACAGCTTCTTTGGTAAGCTTCAAACAACTTGAGCACCCTGAAACGAGATCATTGGCTAGAACATCACTGAGCAAATAGTCACGCGATATAAAGAACAATCTCACGTATCGAAATAATTCTTCGAACTTCCCTTTCCGCTCGCTTTTGCTATGTTGAATCCACCTTACTATGGCCTTGAATATGACATCTTCTGTACTAACAGCTACGTCATCCCTGCAAATCCACTCCACCACTTGCTGGTTATCCAAACAAAGAAAATCTTGACATTCAGTCACAGCGGTAAAGTTTGATAGGATAAATTGCCTAGTCTTCATTGTCAGCTCTTGGCATCGATATTGCTCAGCAAAATAATAAATTGTCATACAATTTGAAGATGTTAATGTTTCCTGCACTAAATATTTTTCAGAGAATGTTTTCAATCTGTCGAGAAGTAAATATTCCGCTGCCTCGATCAGCTCTTTCGCATTCTCTAGAGTAGTTATTTCAACACTACCAGATCGTACAAACTCTAACACATCTCTCATACCTGCCTCTGTGATGTGCTCTAACCGAACAGTTCCTTCTTTGTTCTCCCTCATGTCGCTGTTGAGAAGAGTAGAAAAGAAATCGCTTGAAGCCGCAATTTCATTTCTACTTACTCTCATCTCTTTGCCGTGTTTAAGGATTAAAGTGAAATCGTTGTCACCTTCTTTGGGCTGCATGTTTGCGCGAACGTTTGAAACATTGACTGACTAAAAGGGACTTTTGGCGGCGGTTCACTCCCGGAAGAACATATGAAAAGTGAGAACAGCGGAAAGAGAAGAATTCGTCAAACCCTCTCTCCTCCGCAGAGGCCTCTTTGTGTTGTGGGGAGGCTGGGGAGAAAAAAAAGAGAGCGCGCGGGGCACGATGGGAAGGGGGAAGAGAGAAGAGAGCCGTTTCCCCCTTCCCATCGTCCCCCGCGCGCTTTCTATTTTTTCGATAATTGATATTTTGATGGGGACACCCAGCGGGAGCCTCTGCGGAGGAGAGAGCGTCAAACCACAATCATGACTGACAGCTCTATGACGTACAGACCATTGCATTATTTATTTCGAAATTAATTCACTCAGTAAAGGAGCTGTGTCACGAAATTCAGCCAAATTAGGAAATTACAAAATGCCCGCGGTTAAATTAAGAGAAACATAAAAATAACCGCTTAAAACTTTAAAGGAAGGTTAAAATAACATAACAGAAACAACAGATGCCAGAGATGTGCAAAACTGAAGAAGATTGAAAAGGATTGAAATTAGGATTTTTGACAACTGTTCTGACAGCCTAACAGTTTTTTTTAAAGTTGATCCCTGCTGCTTGCAACGTCAGAAATAATGCTCAGGAGACTTAATTGTTTGTCTCGGATCTCTGATTTTGTCATTTACCTGTAATTTCTTTGCTTACTTTAAGTTCCATAACGACTGAGGGTGAGTGATTGGCAAAAACAAAATGAACTGGACTGCCGTGACACAGCCCCTTTAAGCGGGTGAAAGATCTCTTTGCATGTAGATCTTCAAAAAGACGGTATACAAAAGAAGAAACAGTGGCCAGACTTTAGTTTAAGTAATGGTACAGGTTGGTACAATCTCACGCCGGCGAATTTTTCAGGTTAGTCATCTGCCTCTACGATGCAAGAGCATTACTGGAACTTACTCTCTTACTCTTACTCAATGCGGAAGTAGTGAAACCTTTTGTTGTGGCGGAAAGGCTTTTATTTTTAGCCGTGTAATTCTAACGGAGGACTAAGTGTTCAAAATACCGTGACTTCTGTTTAGCTGGTTGTCCAGCGAATTTCAGGAAATAAACAGTTTTTAATATTCTCTTCCTTAGCTGTTTATTGCGTGAGAAAAAGTCCACGGATTCATTAACTAACTTCCAATAATAGCTTTTCATTGATTTAATCTATTCTTGTTTTTCATATTGTTAGAACCATGTTCCTAACGCTCAACCTATATTTGCCCATTCTGGTAGTGCTTAGGGTTTCCATAAAAAATGCCGTGATCTCTGTTTTAGTATGGTCACATTGCTCTCCCTTACAGGTTTAATCTTAAATTTCCGTCAAGCTTTTAAATAGGAGTCCCCCCCCCCGCTCCCTCCGGGGTGCCACTCCACGGACTTTAAAGAAAACTAAGAGAATGCTAACGGCCTGAAGACTTGCTAGTGGCCTAGAAGGCGCAATGATTCATTCTAAGCTTTATCCTATTTCTGAAGTCCTCGCTATAAAATAGAGGCAAAGTGCAAAAACCGTAAATACTCGAATTAGCGCCGAGCTTTAAATAAGCGCCCCTCTTCGAATTAGCGCCTCTCCTTTGGTCAAAATTTGGATAAGCGCCCTCCCCCCCCCCCCCCCCCCCCGCAAAAAACCAGGTCGGTTATCGGTGCGCAGTGCGAGGAGTAAACGGGACGTTTAATAAATTTAGGGTTCGTAAGTCCTTTTACAACGGGCCCCCACAGGGACCCCACCCTTTTTTAAACGCCTCTTATAAACAAAAGGGCAAAGTGCACAAACCCCAAACCTGTAAAGTGCGGCGCGGGTTTAAAAAACGCCCCCCCTCCCAATTACGCCCCCCCCCTTGGTCAAAAATGGGAAAAGGCCCCCCCCCCCCCCCCCCCTTCCCCCGAGAAAAAACGAGGTTCGGTACTCGGTACGATGTACGAGACGTATACGGTACTTTTAATGAATGTGACGTTCGTAATACCTTATAACAGGAGCCCATCATGGGCTCCTGCTTATTATAGGAAATTAACGCTCCATGAAATTGAGGTACTGGAAATTAACACGACGTAAATTAACGCCAATTTAATGGGAAACGACTTTCGAAAGAGAAGGTACAATTTCATAACAAAGGAAATTAACTCGATTAATTACACGAAATGAAAGGAGAAGATATTGATATCACCTCTGACACCGACAACGATAAAGATGAACTCGAAATATTGTAAACCTTCGCCTTAGCTTTTGTGAAAGATGAAAAATAAAGGGTAACTGGAAAGGAAGAAAGCTTGTAGTTAATGTTTTTTAGGTGTCAAGAATGTCTGCACAGGTTCCAAAATTCGGGTTAAAATACTGGAAATTAAGAGCGCGAAAATTAACGCTCAACAAAATTAACGCGACGTAAATTAACGCGAATTTTAACGATTCGCGTTAATTTCATGGAGCGTTAATTTCCTATGATAAGGTAGTAAAAAATTAATGTTCTTCAAAATCGTACAGGTTTGCTTCTCGTATCCTCAATAGAAATGTCCATGTGAGCACATAGGTGCTTCACTTACTATGTTACAGTTTGGGTAAAATAGAAATAAAGCAGTACTGCCAAATTGATTAACGAAATAAGCGCCCCTCTTCGAATTAGCACCTCCCCTTTTGCCTTTGAAAATTAAATAAGCGCCCCGGGCGCTAATTCGAGCATTTACGGCATGAGTGTTTATTCAAGCCTTGGAACAACTTAGAAATGGCCTAATTTTGCAATGGACAACTTCTAAAACAACGGACTGCAAGTATCTGATAGAGGCAACTAAATCATGACGTGGCATGCAGTGACGATTTTTAGCAACTTATGCAGTAAAAAGGAGAACCTTAAAAATTTTAGCTTTCCTGACTGACTGCTACAAAAGTTGATATCATCACTACAAGGCCAGTGACAAGAGTATTTCCTTTTTAGAGACTAGATAGGAAATATTCTAGATGTCAAGCCTTTCTGGAGCTGACCCACACGAGTCTGCACAGATAGTCAAAGCAATAATGAAGGAAACACTGAAATAGGTACATGCACTCAAGGGAGTACATGTGGTACATTCCCCTTGTACAGAACCATATAACTCTTTGTCACTCCCTTCATCTCTTGCTACTATGCATGATCCAGTGCCTATTTTAATTTCAGTGTTTGCTTCGCTATTGTTTGGCCATCTTCTCGGAACTATGGTTCAGTTCCAGAAATGCATGACTTCTTGTTAACCTTCAAAGTAGCCAGGTAATTTCCCAGGGGTGGGGGGGGGGGGGGGGGGGTGCTCCGGATTTGTTGGGTTTAAAAATTTTCGATGTCGGGATTTTTTTTTTCCCAAGTATTTTTTGGGTAACTTTATTTAAGTGGGGATTTTTTTTGAGTATTGAAACTAATGTTTCTATTTTTCGTGTTGTATCATTTAATGCTTTCTGGATCGAAATTTTTATGGCTCGGAAATTCGGCATATTCCCACTTTAATGCAAGCGTTTTGATTTAAACGGTCAGATATCAATAAAATAATCATATTGTTTATTGATGTGTTATAAAAGATTGTCATGCTAGGAAAAGGATTAATAACTTAACTGTTTATTAAAGACACGATAAACTCAGTGAACTCCTCGGTTTTTGACACAACCTTGCTTTATTGAGTAAAAGAGCATCGCTTGCATCAGGAGCCCATCAAATGGAGCCTCCATCTCCCATACAAGCCCTTGGAGCCAACCCTTTCGTTCCCAGGGGAGACTTCGCACGCTGACGGTGGGAAGAGCCAATCACAACGACGAAATGACACTGCTATTGTACTTCATCAAACAACAGGAAATTCGGTGTTGACAGGCCAAACACAATCATAAGCTAGTGAATCGTGACTTAAGCGTTTTCATCCCTCAGAGATTTTCTTTCTTTTCTTTCTAGCCGATAGATTATACTGTGGAGAGTTTTAAACTCTGACTATGTTAATCTTTATTTTGGCTGCTTGTCTCACATTAAGAGACCATGAAGCTGGTCTGTTAAATGCATAATGATTAACTACTACCTGCAGTCTGTAGTTCTGACAGGATTCGTTTTCTTTAGCCAATTTTTTTGAGCGTTAAGGTTATTATTTCGGCTAAATGACTCAACATTAATCAAATTTCTAGTTTTTCAAGTTTTTTTTTTCCGAAATCCGTTTATCTGAAAAAATACTTGTGGTCCTTGTGGTTGTTTTGTCCTTCAGCATCACACTACTAAGGGACGATACAAAACATTGCGGCCCGGGTCGGTAACAAAAGAGTGTTTTTTCACTAGATGTCTACGCTTAAGCTTCCTTTCTTGACTCGGATTTGAAGATGTAGTTGACGACTGAATTTTCCTGTCAGTCAATCATAATTCTTTTGTCACAGATACAATCCATTTTGATTTTCTTGAGACAAGTGGGTCTTTGGACTGGAGGGCTATGTCACAAATTCCTCCGTTAGCAAATTACTTTTGAGTTTTTCCGAGATAATAAAATAGAAATTAACTTTTTTCAAGACACCATGAACCATGAGCTCCTGCTTTTTTAAACAAAATGAAGACCAAAACTCAAAATTCACAAAAAACCTAATACAGCTGTTTTTTTGGCTGTATTTATGAACTTGTACACGTTGTCGTTGTCACTTGCAACACTTGCACGTGTTTGTAAGTGTAAACTTTGAAATTAATTTAAAAAAACCGTTTGTATAATGAGCATTATCCGAGCATTTTAGTAACTTTTTTGGGGGAGACCGAGCATTTTAGTGAGGTAAATGGAGCATTAAGGTGGAGCATTTTAGTAGGGAAGCAAAAGCATAATGTACAAAAGCCTATTTCCCTCTCGTTCGCTTCGGATACGTCACCGAAGTGAATTGTCCGAGAGGGACTGGGAAAACGCCGTACAGGGACCAGGCAACTCCTTGGCGACTCCCTGAGATTGTTCTCGTCACTAAGGTCCGCGGAGAAGACTACCGAAGACCACTCTGTCATGACCTTAGCAACAAGGGCCATAGCAACGCTGGCAGTCTTTTGGGGATGGGTTTAACGAGTATTCTTGGAATCTTTAGTGCGCAACTATCATATTTCCATTCGGGAAGCATTTTGTTGATTGGCAACTTTGTTTTCTTTTTCCATGTCTTTTCCTCAAAGTCATAACTTTCAACTGTCATTCCTCTTTCAACTCTCATTCCTCTTCCATCGCAGGTTCTACCAACCATCACATACAAAGATCCCTTCAAATACACCATGCTACCAGAAACGCGAGGAGAATTTAAACTTGCTATCAACTGCCATTCGTCTGCGTCTACGTTGTAAACTTCACAGGTCAAAGTATGATGCCCATAGCTCGCTAGCGATCCACCAGCGATAAAAATCTTCCCATGAGCAGCAGTGCCACAGGCGTGGCATCTTGGCAAGTTCATCTCTGTTATACGATCCCAGCTCTGATTCCCACCATCCCGCATTCCTGAGTGTAGAGTCATAGTGTCTAGTCTATAAGGTGGTGATATAGTCTTGCGGTCAGTAGGCATTAAACCACCAATAACGTACAGGTATCTGTCCATGGCGATTATACAGGCACCTATGGCAGCCACTGGCTTACTTCCATTGCAATGAACATCGGTCCATCTTTTCCATTTAAAGTTATACTTGGATACTGAGTAAAATGACGGCCTTTCCGACAGCCGCCGTGGAATGCGAAAGTCACGGACACGTTCAGAACGATCTTCATAAAGAGCAAACAGTTGCCCCCTTACCACTGCTAAACGGTAAGTCTCTCTGGAAGTCTGTCCAGTCTGATAGTCAAAGGTAGTCCAGCCATTCAAAGACGGGTCAAACATTTCTGCTCTTTTGGGGCAGACATTCAGCGAACCTGGGAAAACATACAGCTTTCCTTGGAAAGAGCACATTTTGTAACTATTTGGAAATTTGTATGCCAAATGCGTGTCCGCTAACTTATACCACTTGTCTCCGTCAGGTTCATAACAAAAGGTCTCCTTGCCCATGTAAACGACTAGATGCGTATCGGTCCAATTTCTGGGTAACTGGAAAGAATATTTTCCTTGGACAGCGTCTTTGGCCAGCTTCAAACAACTTGAGCATCCTGAAACGAGATCATTGGCTAGAACACCACCGATCAAATAGTCACGCGATATAAAGGACAATCTCACGTATCGAAATAATTCTTCGAACGTCTTTTTCCGCTCGCTTTTGCTATGTTGAATCCACCTTACTATGGCCTTGAATATGACATCTTCTGTACTAACAGCTACGTCATCCCTGCAAATCCACTCCACCACTTGCTGGTTATCCAAAGAAAGAAAACCTTGAGATTCAGTCACAGCGGCAAAGTTTGATAGGATAAATTGCCTAGTCTTGATTGTCAGCTCTTGGCATCGGTATTGCTCAGCAAAATAATATATTGACATACAATTTGAAGATGTTAATGTTTCTAATAAATATTTTGCAGAGAATATTTTCAATCTGTCGAGAAGTAAATATTCCGCTGCCTCGATCAGCTCTTTCGCATTCTCTAGAGTAGTTATTTCAACACTACCAGATCGTACAAACTCTAACACATCTCTCATACATGCCTCTGTGATGTGCTCTAACCGAACAGTTCCTTCTTTGTTCTCCCTCATGTCGCTGTTGAGAAGGGTAGAAAAGAAATCGCTTGAAGCCGCAATTTCATTTCTACTTACTCTCATCTCTTTGCCGTGTTTAAGGATTAAAGTGAAATCGTTGTCACCTTCTTTGGGCTGCATTTTTGCGCGAACGTTTGAAACATTGACTGACTAAAAGGGACTTTTGGCGGCGTTTCACTGGATGAACATGGTGCAAAGTGCGAGCAATTTAAAGGGAAGAACGCTAATATGTGGGTCATTCTTCAAACCACAACCATGTCTGACAACTCTATGACGTACACACCATCGCATTATTTTGTTGGAAATGAAGTCACCCCTAGAGCGGGTGAAAGAATCTCTTTGCATGCAGATCTTGAAAAAGACGGTATACAACTGAAGACGACGTCGAAACGGTGGCCAGACCTAAGTTTAAGTAATGTGTAATTATTCAAGTTAGTCATAGGCCTCCATGATGCAAAAGCATTGGCTTTCTCACTCTCACTCATGCTGAATGCGGAAGTAATGAAACCTTTTGTTGTGGTGGAAAGGCTTTTTTTGCACGGTCATTCTGATGAAGGAATCAGTGTTCAAAATACCGTGACTTCTGTTCAACTTGGCTGTCGAGCGAATTTCAGGAAATAAACAGTTAATATTCTCTTTCTTGGCTTCATAAGCCTTCATTGCCTGTAAAGAAAACAAGTCTACGGATTCGTTAACAATTTCTTTATTTTCAATAAAAGGTTCTCATTGAACTAATTTATTCTTGTTTCCATATTGTTAGAACCACTCAACCTATATTTGCCCATTCAAGTATTACTTAAGGCTGTGCATAAAAAAAATGCCGTGATTTCTGTTTTAGTCAAATGGTCACATTGGTCTCCCTTAGGGGTTTAACCCTCTAACCTCCAATATCCACATACAAATTCTCCAAACTGATCTCAATACATTTCCTTAAAGAATGTGTTGAGAGAATTTGATAAAAGGTCAAACCATTTTCTCTTAGGTGTTCATTTTATTAATTCTCATAACCAAATCTCTTGACAATTTATGGATATCACTGGGAGAAAATTGGTGTTGGTCACCATTGGGACTTAAAGAGTTCATTTTAAATTTCCGACAAGCATCGCCGTCACTTTTAAATAGGAGTCCCCCTGGGGTGCCACTCCACAGACTATAAAGAAACTAAGAGAATGCTTGCAGTCTGAAGACTTGCTAGTGGCCTTAATGGTGCAAGGATCCATTCTAAGCTTTTTCCTAGTTCTGAAGTCCTCACTATCAAATTGAGGCCAAGTGCAAAAATGAGTGTTTATTTTAATAAGCCTTGGAACAACTCAGAAATGCCCTTATTTTGCTATGACCAACTCTTCTAAAACAACGGAGTGCAGGTATCTGATAGACAGGGTTCTATCTAGGGTATTTGAGCGGTAGAAGCTTTCCCACCAAAAATATTGTTATCATTACAGTATATAAGTAGCTATATCAGAAAAATCATCCAGACAAAACGAGGCCAGTACAAATAAAGTAATTATTCACTGTCTAAGGACACTATATGACAAGGAACATGGAGAATATTCTTATTTTAAAACAAACTTCTAAAAATTGTCTCAAAATGCACCAGATGGCATCTCAGCGCATATTCATTTCAAAACATTTCAGGAGGGCATGCCTCACACTCCCCTAGGAAGCTTGTGACCTTTTGCCACTCGGGACTTCTCTCCCAAATGATAAATCCTAGATAGAACCCTAACAGAGGTAACTAAATCAGTGACATGCAGTGACAATTTTTACCAACTTATGCAGTAAAAAGGAGAACCTTAAAAAATTTTGCTTTCTTGACCGACTGCTACAAAATTTGATATCATCACTTCAAGGCCACCAACAAGAATATTTTCTTTTCAGAGACTAGATAGAAAATATTCTAGATGTCAAGCCTTTCGGGAACTGAACCACACGACATCTGCACAGATGGTCCAAACAATAACGAAGGAAACACTGAAATAAATGTACGGCTAATCATGCATTCGAGGGAGTGCATGTGGTACATTCCTGTTGTACGGAATCATAGAGAGTATTTTCACATGACGTGCATGTGGTACATTCCTGTTGTACAGAATCATAGAGAGTATTTTCACATGATGTCACAGAGGCCATATTGGTATTCCAAAACAATGAAATGGTGGCCATGTTGGTTGCCAAAACCATTCCTGTGGGAGTTGAACTCTTTTCTTATGCAAACACTTTCCTTTGTTCTAATAAATTTGCACAGATGCTGGTTACGTGAATGAAAATGCTCTATACCCCTTTGTCAGTTCCTTTATGCCTTGCTACCATGCATGATCCAGTGCCTATTTTAATTTTAGTGTTTCCTTCGATATTGTTTGGACTATACATGCACAGCAGAATGTATGGTTCAGTTCCAGAAATGTGTGACATCTTGAAACCTTCAAGATACCCAAGTTTCAGTCTGGCTTAAAGCCTGTGTTCATTACAAAAAGATTTCCACCACAAGGTTGTGGATCTTGAATATTCTCTTCAACACACCATATCTTATGTTCAATAATAATAATATGAATTCAAGAACAAGTAGTACGGTATATTGTCTACCATATTTGACATAATTTTTTTTCATCTTTAATTATCTGTTAGCTGTACTTTGCTGTCCTGTGATTGTTCATTAGCTGAAACAGCTACTGTAGTGTCTTTTTCTGGATCATGTGTGTTATCTGTTGACTGCTCCTTTGTAGAAGGAGGACCAAAGAAATCACTGGTTTTGAAAATCACAGGTGGTTTCCATTCCGACAAATTTTTGTCTTTCTTTGGAGGACTCTGCTTCATCTAAATGAAAATAACAGGAGAAAGAATAAATTTAGGCACACACAAAAAAAAATAACAGGCAGACTCAAATAATTTTTCTAATTTGCCATGGCAGTATCAGTGTCTACACATGGATGGTCCAGGAGGACAGGCTCAAACCTATACTTTAAGACCCAATACCCTGAAAACCATACCACGATCAGCGGCACCTATTCATTTAGGTCAAATAGGGGAGTGCCCCTAGGGGTCACCCTTTGCTAATACTAGCAAATTAGTGCACTTTCTTCCCATTTTTCTTCTTTCCTTTTCAAAATAGTTTTTATCTTTGTCATAATTTTTCATTTAACTGGCACCATAAAAAGGAATATTTTTTCTTAGCAAGATCAGTTTCAATAATTATCTAGTTAAATCTATTTGCTTGCTGAGTTTTTTGATGTGTAGTCAATAGGTTTTTCAGGATCTGGGATATGCCTAACTTGAAATGCCGGAATCTGGGGGTAAAATTTGACTGACAGTTTGCACGAGATGAGTGATGCCGAAAATTAGCACTGGGATCACAGGACTGTAAGCAAAAGTTTGGGTCGCGATGACAAGATTGAAGAACCGGAGTGGAGACCTTGTATATAAGGTAAATGGGAAGGAAAATTTAGCAGCTTATTAGATGTCAGCTAGGGCTTTATTCCACACCCACCTTTAGATAATTAATTATTATTAAATATACAACACCACTTACTTGTCTCAGTCCTGGTATGGAACTCAGCACTTTTTGAATAGTATGGCTTCCAAGCTCTCTTTCTGCAGTAACCACACTCTCTTCCACTTCATCAACATTTTTCTTGACAACATTCACAAAAGCCTGTTACCAAAATAAAGCATTTTACATCTTTTTCTTGGGTATATAGAACATCACTGCAATTTAAGTGCATACTCTGCTTTTAATCCACAGTACAAAGTATGTGTAGTAAATTTCACTCTTTAAGCAAGTACCTCCAGTTGATCGATCCTCCTAAATATTGTTGGTAATTCCTGAGATCTTGCATGAAGTTGAGGCATTAGTTCAATCAAGGACTGGGAGGAGTCATTGCGAATCTGTATGGAACACAAAACAAATAGGTACAACAATAACCAAACACATAATGATAGCTGAGCCATGAACAAACAACTTACACTTTGAAAGTACAGTACAACTATTCAGGAATTACAAATGTATTTCCTGACAATGTTTTTAGGTCTACTACATACCCCATGGACCCAGCTCTCTTACACCATCTTCCCCGCTTCCCCCGGCCCCTGGTCTCAAAATTTGCATTGTCCTCAAATGGGGTAACTTGGGAGAACAAAACATTCCACACCCATCCCCCCTCCCTTTCTTTTTAAAGTTGGGGTGTTTGTTGTTTTCTATAGGTAGCTCGAACAGTGGCATAACATTGCATGGAGGGGGTGGGGAGGGAAAGCTTTATTCTCCTTTATTTCAGTTGGTAAAATGTTAGATAGGCCCTTAAGACAATAATTTTGTCTCAACTTATTTTATCCCAGATATCGGATAACTCGCAGGGTGTTCATATTAGGTGCTTTCAAAGACAGACAAAATTGCTATGTTCCCAAGTATCACATTTTTCTATAAGGCAAAATTGCAAGGCATTAAAGTATTGATGAGATCAGGCTGATAGTATATTTATATGTGTGCCTTTGACCAGGTTTTTTTTAGAGAAATATCAGAACATTGACTTAAGTGTCCCTGTTCCTCTCCACTTGCCTTTGTTCTGGTGTTAATTGACTACACGTATTCACTTCACTACCAATCTAAATCACTAGCTGGTTATTTAACCCCATTACACATACTATACCTTTCCCTGTAAGGGGAAAGTTTCCAAAAATTGCACGATCTTTTGCAAGTCGTGCTTATGCGTTGTAAGTCAGGGTGTTAGCAGGACAATTCTCACTAAGAGATCACAGAAAAGTCACGCAACCCCCGATAAGGACGTTACCCACGTTAGAGATTGCCTTATCCAATACCATCAGATACAATTACTAACAGTGTGGGACGGAAATTTCTGTTTCTACATAAAAATTAAACTGATATAGCAGCCAGCGAAATATTCGGTAAACGTGATTAAACAAGCAATAAAATATCTTTTATTTCACAAAAGTCTGAAAGAAAATGAACAGATACATTTCCTTTTCGACAAAACCAGCGATAATTTTACGGATCATGCGCCCTTAAACTTGAATAAATTAATCCAAGAATCTCGATTAGCACCAAAACAATAACGTCTAAAAACCTCTGAAACATAACTCAGTATCGCTGCTCCTTACCGTATCTGCAAGGTGTGAAAATTCATCCAGGCGAACAAGCATTTCTTCTATTGTACCTTCGATTGCTTTAGACTGAGAATAAAGAAAACGGCATGTTTCTAAAATAAAAGATTCACCACTCTTACTCAACCTTCGTTTTCGAAGGTTGTTTGATGAACATATTTCCAAAAAGAAACTTTTGATGGGTACGTTACCTCATTTATAACATCAACTTGGCAGTACTGCGCAAATTCCTTTGCACATTTTGCTAAGTCGAGTTCGACTTCTTCTTCCTTTTTACTGTCTCCCTCGAGACTTTCTTCCCCACCACCGTCCGCCATCTTTGACTAGGCAATGAACAATTCTGAGCCGAACGTACTTTGGTCAGCGGCTTACGTAAGAAGAAACGTTGTCGAACGTTCGACGACGCTCTCTGCACCTTTGCACAACATTTAATTTTTCATCTGCCTGAACCACGAACATCTTGACCGCCAAAATGGTAAGTTTAATTGAGAACTCATCTGTGATATTTCTTCCTTCAAACTGCTAAACTAATTTGATCGTTTTGTCGCAGACGGTGGGAAAGAGTTCGAAGATGCTTCAGCACATCAATTTCAGAATGCGGTGCACATTGCAAGATGGCCGCAGTTTTATAGGAACTTTTTTAGCTTTCGACAAGCACATGAATATCATTTTAGGAGACTGCGACGAGTTTAGAAAGATCAAGCCAAAGAGTAGCAAGGCACCAGAGCGTGAGGAAAAAAGAATTCTTGGTTTGGTTTTGCTCCGAGGAGAACATCTTGTTTCTTTGACTGTTGAAGGACCTCCTGCTAGTGATGTAAGTCCTATTTATCAGCATTATTTGCTGTTTTCACCTGATACTCTGTGACACTAAGCTGCCACTTAGTAGTAGCAAGCAATTATGCTTCTCTGCCAACTTCTCGGAGTAGAAAAGTGTAAACTACCAAGTTTTGAACGCCAGAGATAAGCTTATGAAAGACCCCTGTACTCTCTCTTGAGCATGTAGTAGTTGTCTTTCATCCTGTTCCTTCATAAAAAGACAGTAAATATGAATAGCGTTTGAGTAAGATGACGTTGCAGATTAGGTGTAGAGGGGCTATGGAAATTTTACTTGCTTTTAAAATAACCATCTCTATTTGAAGCTGGCGTTTTAGGTTGGTTTCTGCATCATCACTGCAGTTGCTGAAATCAGTCCAGCCATTGTATCAGTCTCAACAATCACAGTGAGACTAGCAATCAGGCCCCAGTTGTTCAAATGTTGGATAGCACTATCCACCGGATAAATCACTATCTAGTGGATAAGTATTTGGGAAACCAATAATATTGCGCTATCCACTGGTTAGAGATTTATCTATTGGATAGGGCTATCCACCTTTTGAACAACTGGGGCCAAATGGAAAGCAGCCTTGAGATACTGTTGAACCCCAATAAATAAAGCCCCTACTGGTAGGGCTGCAATGATGCATTTCGCCATGAAACGATACAAGGGCCATGTGTTACTGACCGAGCATGAGTTCAAGACAGCTGGATACCCGTCAAGTTGTTTTGTTGCGTTTTGTGGCCCAAGACAAAGTCGAGGTCAGTTAAATTGCAAAAAAGAACTAGGCCAATATTCAGCCATCTTGACCAAACAAGTGTGGTCCATAAAGAATTTTTTTATTTATGTGGGAAATCCCAAACAGACAAGATGGACCCATCTTGCCCACTCAGGTAGCCAATCCGAAGAAAGGTTTGACTAAATCTTGCCTGCTTGCGGATGTGGCCATATAATGAGATACATTACTGTGCAGGACTAGACTAGTTTTCATTCCTTGTGAGGGCGTAAGTCTTTACAGCTTTCAAGTGACAAATTGATTTTAGTAAGGGTGCAGTTGTTTCCCCTCTTAAATAAAATGAAAAGTATGCGTAGCAGGGATGGTTGGCTCTTTCGTTAGTTTTCATGATGAGTTGCCTGAGGATGGGTAAAATGTAGAGCTTGAGTGAGGGAAATTTAAGACAGAGACAGAGATTTCATAAATTTGTTGATGTAGCTTATCTTATTGTATTTTTCTATACTTATAGCATGTTCAATGTTCATTGAATCAGGGGTATGTCATGAAGGCCTGCTCCTATACATGTGTCTGTACCTGGGCCTAATGTATTCGTTGTTATACCAGAGTGTTTGGTATACAGGGGTTTATGTATGACTATAGGTACAGGTGACTTCTGTGATCAATCACATTGATCATGAAAGTTTTAATGTTAGATGGTTGCCATGACCACTGAATGTTTTTTTCAGCACTAGTAGTAATTATATATCCAGCCTTAAAAAAGGTTGTTTGGATAAATAGTCCTTTAGATTGGCTCTTGCCTGTGAAGCAAACAATAATATATGGCTTTTGAACTATTCGTAATATTGAGGCTACAGTAATATCAATAGTGGTATTTAAGAAAGTAGACACTTCACAGTTGGGGACGAACGAGCAATTCCTTCAAAAGTTTTGCTTATTTCTGTTATTATTTTGACAAGTAGAAAAAGACACTGGTCTGACTCATTATGACTTGTGTCTTACAGTCCAAATCCAAGCTTCTTGGATCTAATGCTGCTCCAGGTACAGGAATGGGTCGTGCTGCCGGTCGTGGAGTTCCTGCTCCATTGGCACCTACAATTGCTGCACCTCCAGGTATGTGATTTGTGTGTTGTTAAAGATATTTTCTTTGCTGTGTATTTTGATCAGACTTTACTCAAGTCCTGGATGCTGTTGTTTAATTTACCATGTTTTGATATGTCCTTATTGTCAAAATGTTTAATACACGTTAAAATGAGTTGACTTTGACAGTGCTTTAAACTTGAACTTTTTAAAAAAACTTTTTAAAACTTTTTAAACTAGTAATAACCAAAGGTTACGAAGTGCAGGCGACAAGGATTGAAGGTTAAAACGCTTTTGCTCCAGCGCTGTGCATTGCATAAGTTTCACATGACAGGTGGTCAAAACACGTGATTAGATGATGAGTGATCGAAGGTCCAAACATATGTGATCAAATCACACATGTGTTATGTGCATTCCATTCATTCTTAGTGGAAGTTCAAATGAATGCTGGCTACATACATGCGACTCATGCGTAATAACAACCTGGAGATTAGGATTGCAGGTTCCTCTTGTCGCCCGTAATTAGCATTCGACTAGCCATTGAAAGATTTGTATTGACTTTTGATAAAGAGCAGTAAGCGAATACCAATTGACACTGCTGGAAAGAGGGCCTGAAAATAGGGTAACTTATCAACTCTGAAGTTGATATGTCCAAATAGAGCAAAGGTATTGCTCCACAAAGTCATTTTACAGACGTTTGTATGGCAGGGGCACGTATGAACTTGCCCCCCCACCATATACAGTCCTGTACGTGTCTTTCTTAAACTCATTAATAATTCATAAAGAAAATACAAGGGAAATATTAATGTTCAATGAGAGTTTAAAAATCTGATGAAAAACTGCTCATTTTTGCATCCTTAATTTTTCCTTGTAAAATTGTCTTGTTTAAGAAGTAATATCAAGCATTTGACACAGTGTTTTATCACCAGGTGAAACACCTCGAAGTTCATCAAAAATATTGCGCTGCACGTCGTATTTTCAACTCTTTTCTCAGTGTTTCATCTGGTGATGAAACACTGCATCTCATGCTTTATATATTATGTAAAATTCTGTGACTTTGCAGAGCCATATTTTCATTAGTTTTTCAAACTTAATGGATTTTTGTTTTCTGGTCCCAGTCAAAAGCTGAAAAAACCATTTATTAAGAGCCTGTAATGTACATAGGTAATTGATGAGTTAACCAATGATATTATGTTTTCAGGACTTGCTGGGCCTGTTAGAGGTGTTGGTGGACCAGCAGCTCAGTTGATGACGCCACAAGGAAGAGGAGCACCTGGTGGTATGTACATTCACTGAGGAGGCCCTGTTACAACCCTCAAGTTACGACCATTTTGGTCACCATGGCACCTCCGTAAACCAAAAGAGTTGGTTGCCAAATGGTGACCAAGCAAAAACTTTAACTTGGAGGGTTGTGTTAGGGTGAAGTTGCGATAGACGAAAAGGCCTTGAAGTGGCATGATGAGTTAAAACAGTGACATAGACAAAGACAAGCACCAAACAATAGTAAAATGCTGACAGGGACATGGCTCCCTCCTCAGTACTTGAAATGAGTGGTTTTGAAATTAAGACAAGAGACATGGGTACCAGCCCCAAGAGGGCCTCTTTGGTGGAATGACTTGTATTTTAATTTAGCTTGTTTCAGTCTTGATTTATAACCTTAGAAAGAAAGTAAGAAAAAAATACATATTGGTTTATTTTTATGCATTAACCTGTGTTTCTTACCCACTATCCTTGCAGGTGGCCCACCTCAACAGGGACCACCATCTGCAGGCCCAGGGGGCATGCCTGGTCCCCCTGGGGTAATGGGAGCTCCTACAAGAGGACCCCCTCCTCCCCGACCACCTCTTATGCCACCAGGAGGTATGTGTGCTGTGCAGTAACTTGTTATTGTGTCTTAGTAAAAACTAGTTGCTGCTTGAGCAAAGCCTGTTTGAGAACTGGAAAACAGCTTCATGTCTATTTTGTAATTTCACTTGCTTTTCCTTTGAGTATTCTGATATTTCATTTACACTTTCTTTCTTTCTTTCCAGGCTTATTTTAAAGCAAAACTATTTGATTATTTAAACCACTAGCAGACTAAACAAATCCTTAGCATTTAACGGAAGATTTATTTTGGTATGTTTGACCTGTTTACTGTAGGTCCTCCACCAGGAATGCCGATGAGAGGTCCTCCCCCTGGAATGCGTCCCCCAGATATGGGCCCCCCAGGCCGGGGTATGCCCCCTGGTATGCCACCCCCAGGCATGATGCCGCCAGGAATGGGCCGTGGACCCCCTGGCAGAATGCCACCTCCAGGACTCATGGGAAGAGGTAGGATTTCAAAGCTATTGGTACTCGGACACTTTGAACTGTTTTGTCTTAATGAACAAGAAGCACCATATTGATGAGTATAAGTAAACTCTCTCTAAGACGGACACCTTTGGGAGCGGCACTAAGTGTCCATCTTAGAGAGGTGTCCGTCTTATAGAGAGTCAAATAAAAGGAGTAAAGAAAGGCAGGGACCAACTCTTAAGTGTCCGTTTTACAGAGGTGTCTGTCTTATAGAGAGAGAGAGAGAGTCGACTGTAATCCACAACTATTAGAGCCTTCATCTAGACATGTCATGTGACCTCTGAGAATTGTCAGAAGCCAGGCATGCAACACTTCAGGTCAAACATCTAATTGTGGCGAAGCTTTCTAGCCCCCTATTAAGACTAGTTTTGTCTAGTAAAATTGTCAACCCTTAGCTGTCCAATCAGCCTTGTGTTCAACTTTAAGTATAACTTTAGCAGTTAGGTTTGGCTTGAGTCCATCACATGCATCCCCATCCAGTGTCCTTTTCCCATGAAAGCCTCGTTATATCAGACTACTTGACTTTTTATAGATTCAATATTTGCATCAAGAAAGGTAAAACTAAATAAAAACACAGCCCAGCAAAGAGGATAAGGATTTCTTCAACCAGAAAATAGGGATAAGTCATGAGCCTCTCCAGAAGACTAACTCCTTTATTGGAGTATAAACTGAGACAATAACTTTTGTGAAGGCAGTGAATGTGCTGAAAAAAAACGAAAATTTACAAGTCTAGCATGCCATCACACATTATTCATCATTATAAGAGATACGTTTATGCTTCTGCTCATTAATAAAGCAAGGAATTCAAAGGGCATTTTCGTACTTTAATTAATGATTTTCTGTTCCTCTATAGGACCACCACCTGGCATGAGGCCACCGCCCCGTTAAATGGAGAGTGTGACAGTCACATCATCTTAAAAGTGCCTGATTTTATCACCTTTGGTGTAGAACAGATTCTCCACAGATTTGAGACCTCTTCTATTGTGGGAAAAAAGCTGTTGTCTAGAAGTCTCTGAAGGCAGATTATGCAGTGTGCTTTTAAATGCAGAATTTGAATGTGCATTCTAAGATGAGCAAGATTCTAGGGAAGACATCTTACAATGTGTATTATGTTTTGTACTTTTCTGTAAATAAACACTTTAGGCTTGGTTATTTGAATTATTCTTTTAGTAACTTAGTACAATAAAATGACTCCTAAGTTAATTCATTTTGACCTTTGTTATTTTACTGTGTTCATATAATGGTAACATTGTGGAAATAACCTATTCACCACTTTTGCATGGCCGCAAATAAACCTCTTCATCGCCCCCCACTTGCTGCAATTTTGTATAAACATTGTTTTCAGTATATGAGAAATTGGGAACAATGGCTACGCAATTTTTACTACACCTATCCCTCCCCAAAGTCAACATTAACATTTACTTCTCACTTTGGGAAAAATGTGACTTAGGGAGGGGTTGATCCACTGTTGTAATGATTGAGAGCAAAGTGAAAGTGGCATTCAGGCACTTCGAAAGTTAAAAGGAAGGTTGTTTTTGTTATTACCTGCTTTGATGGGATAAAAATGAGCTGAGGATTGATACAGTGGAGGGTGTGCATAGCACATGCAGATTGATCTGGGAACAAGAGGGGGTGTGCATTACCAAAACCAGAACGGGTTTTGGTCTTCAGCTTCAGTGAGCTTATATTTATGTAATATATTTCAATCTATGCAGTTATAATTCCGCGGAAATATATTGAAGCATGAAATGGAGGGAAATAAGAGCAAAAAAAAAATTGTCGTAGTAGCACTTTAAGAAGTCACCTACTGATGGTAAACAGCCTAAAGAAAGGATTCTTTTTTGTTTCAGTGGGTCATCATCATCATCAATCTTTATTTATACACGAAATCGTATCATTTTACATGGTCTTCCTAGGAATTGTGTTTAAAACTAGACTAAAATACTAAGACTAAAAGACTAAGGAACTATTGACTATAATGTTAAAAATACAAAAACTTACATTATGGATAATAAGAGTTACAATGGGTCATGGTGTATTAGAAAAATCTTTCCCATGAATTGAAGTTTTAAAAACATTTAAACTGGGCAGTTTTCTAATCTCTGAGGGAATCTTGTTCCACAGAACAGATCCTCTGTAGTGTAGGCTCCTTTTTGCAGACTCAGTTTTGGGTCTGGGGACATAATAATTTAACTCAGAATTTCTAAGATTGTGTGAATGTACATTTGAGGTGTTGGTAAAGATCCGCCTCAGATACGATGGGGAAAGATTATTATGGATTTTATACATTGTCACAGCCAACTGTTTAAGTCTTGCATATTCTAGCCTTTCCCAGCCAAGCTCATCCAACAAAACACTTGAGCGAACGTCATAGTTAGAAAAGGTGAGAATTCTAGCAGCCCTATTCTGCAGCTTTTGAAGTTTGTCTGCTAGTCCCTTATTGATATTACCCCAAACGGCACCACAGTAATTAAAATATGGCATTACCAGTGCATTGTACATGTTCACTCTAGTATCAAATGGTATAAAATGACTTACACGCCTTAAGATAGCAATACCAGCGGATATTTTCTTTGAAATGGTATGAATGTGTGGGCGCCAGTTCAAAGATTCATCAATTTGAACTCCAAGGGATTTATGTTTAATTACTCTTTCTAAGGGTGTATTATTGACTTTGACTGTGAAGTCACTATTTATTTGGGATAACTTAAATTGGCTCCCTATAAGCATGTATTTAGTCTTCTTAACATTTAAAGTTAATTTGTTTGCTGACAGCCATGACTGGATTAAATTCATATCATAATTCATTTTATGTTCAAGGACACATGGGTCTTCTGCAGATGTGGTAAGGGTAGTATCATCTGCATACATTCTGGGTTTTGAAAACAAATTACATGAAGGGAGATCATTAATATAAATAGTGAATAAGAGAGGGCCTAAAATAGACCCCTGTGGAATACCACATGTTATATTACAGAAATCAGATTGAACTCCATCAATGAACGTTTGTTGCTTTCGGTCAGATAGATAGGACTGGAACCAGTTAAGGGATTGAGAACTGACCCCATAGAGTTTAAGCTTTCCCAGAAGGATAGCATGATCCATGGTATCAAAAGCTTTTTTCAAGTCCAGGAATATCACACCATTTAAGAGACTGTCGTCAATATTCCATAGCCATTCATTCGTAGCCTCAAGTAAAGCTGTTTCAGTGGAAAACATAGGTCTGAAGCCAGATTGTGATTCAGTTAACAAGTTATTATTATTTAAATATTCATATAATTGATTAAAAACAACTCTTTCAATTAATTTACTTACTACAGGCAGAACTGAGATAGGTCTGTAGTTGTTAGGATCAGTCCTGAGGTCTTCTTTAAATATTGGCGAAACTCTAGCTCGTTTCCAAGCATTTGGAAATATTCCAGTGGTAATTGACTGATTTATTATAAAAGTTAGACTGCGAGTAACTATGGGAGACGCTTCTTTCAGGAGACGTGCTGAGATGTTATCAAGACCACTGGCTTTATTACTCGGTATTTTCTGAATTAAATTGAAGACCTCCTGGCATGATACTTTTGCCAAATTAAAAATGTGTTCTGCGGGGGTAACATAATCAGTAAAATTACTGGATGTATCTTTAATTTGAGAGGCTAAGGAAGGTCCTATTTTGGAGAAATGTGTGTTGAGTATATTACTGATTTCAATGGGGTCAGTATTTACAGTATCCCCAGTGTCCAGCTGAGTTATCTTATTAAATTTAGGTTCATTTCCAATTAGTCTATTAATTCCTTTCCAAGTATTCTTTATGTTTCTGCGGTTATCTTTGAAGAAGGCATTGTAATAGTTCATTTTAGCATTCTTAATTTCATAATTAACCTTATTCTTCATGTGTTTGTAAGAAGTCCAATTGCCATCTGTTGGGAACCTTGAGGCCAATTTTTTGAGTTTGTCTCTCTGAAACATTAGCCTTTTTAGCTCTGGAGTAATCCAGGGGGAAGAGATTCCTTTCACTCTCTTCTTCTTAAGTGGTGCATGGCTATCAGCAAGCTCAATTGAATAACAGAGAAAGATGTTTACAAACAGAAATATCGCCATTCCTTTGTTGATATCATATCTGTAAACAATAGTAGTTTCTTTTGGACTATTTACCAATATTGAATAAGTTTTGCATTAAAATTAACTGGCTAAAAATTAGCAGGCCACCGACAGCATTTCTGGTCCCCGCTTATATGGAGAAAACTGGTCCCGGGTAAAAGGGTCACTCTTCTACCAGAGCTACCCTGGCTATACCCTGCGAGCAGAGGCTAAATTTTCGCGGTATGAGCTGGCGTGCCAAATGGTGCCTTCGCACGCCAGCACAGACCGCGAAAATGTAGCCTCTGCTTGCATGGTACCCTGGGCAGGGGCGGATCTAGGGGGAGGGTGCAGGGGGTTGCGCAACCCCCCTGAGATGACCTGCGGTTTTCTAATACAACTGGTATTCTGCAGAAAAAAAAAGTGGTTTATTGGTGTTGAAGTAGAGCAAGAGACGAGTGCACCCCCTCCTAGAAAAAATCCTGGATCCGCCCCTGCTGGGTAGCCAACTCTTCCAACATTTCCTTTCAAACCATTAGGCAGGGGCACCCAACGATGGTTTTCTCCTAAATGCTTTGAAAACACTTTTTAGACTATCCAAAGTACTTTTAGATCTTTAGAAACACATTTTCTATCGGCGCTAAAAAATTTATATCTTTTCGGTCATCCTAGGGCAACTTGAATCTTTTCGAAATTACCAGGGCTTCAGTATTCTTTTCCCGAAAATTTTAGATTCAATTTAAAGTTTTACGAAAGTGTGAATCTTTCTGATTCCTCTTTCCATCGCATTTTCGAATCCGAAAATTTTAGGTTTCTTTTTTCTGTGAAAAGTAGCTTCATCCGGGGTGTGAAATGCAAAATGGTAGGGAATTATTAGATAAGCTTCGAAAATTATACATGAATGGAACGGTCATCTAGAAATTCTCAGCCTTCTTCAAGGTATAGAAAATTCTAGACAATTTTTGCTTCACCGAAAAGATATTTTACAGAAAACAGCCGTTGGGTGTCCCTGATTAGGGTTAGCAGGGCCGTAGCCAGCCCAAAGACCTGTACTACAATTATTTGTTTTGATCGCCCTAGCGCTTGTAATAAATTATGCGTTGTTGTGGTGAGCTAAAAAGCTTAAGCCTGGTTTCCATATGATCGTCCGGATCGTCCCGATCGTCCCAGTCGTTTCAAAATATTTCGAGACGATCCGGACGACTGGGGCGATTGGTAGTTTCCATATGATCGTCTCGATCGCCTCAAAGGCAAGAGACGCGGGGTCGTCAGCGAGTGCTTGCAAACAAGGCACAAAAATGGATGATTTTTATTCGTAAAGCGAACCTCGTACCATATCTGCTTTTTCTCTTGATTTTGCGGCATTGAGAAGCTGGAAGAGTTCACCGAAGACATAGTACCTCTTCTAAAACTTGATGTCACGGACTTTCTCTAATTTCAAATAACCCACATACTCGCTGCGAACATTTGTGTATTATTTTTTCGGCTTCAGCGCCATCCGGGCCGAATTTATTCTCGATTGCTGGAATAAAAGTGATGACTTCTAGGATAGCCTTCGATCGTCCCGATCGTCTCGGTCGTCTGAAAGCGTTTCCATATCATCGCTTCAAAATTTACATGATCGTCCCGATAGAACTCAACTGTATCCAAGCGATCGAGGTCGTNCGTAGCCAGCCCAAAGACCTGTACTACAATTATTTGTTTTGATCGCCCTAGCGCTTGTAATAAATTATGCGTTGTTGTGGTGAGCTAAAAAGCTTAAGCCTGGTTTCCATATGATCGTCCGGATCGTCCCGATCGTCCCAGTCGTTTCAAAA